GTTGATGTGTGAATCAGCTGTTTTAGTTTGAATTTACGCGACACTGGTGTTCTCATCAGACTTTACGCGCTCAGTTTGTACTTTACTTGTGTTTTACTTGAGTTCTACTACGAGTAACTCGTAGAACAGACCTAATGTAATTAATGAATTATTGCAAATTCTAAGAGCTAATAAAATCAATATGCCAACAGATGCAAGAACATTAAAAAGCATTCCTAAAGAATTGGTTACAAGGGAAATGGGAGAAAGAAGATATGTATGTTACGGCATTAAGCATGCACTGATCGATTAAGTTTCATAATTATATTACTATATTGTATTCTATTTATTAGAGGATTATATTAATATTAACATTAAGTTAGCAGTAAGAAATACTAAACTATTTTTAATATTATTATTTATCTTATTATTTAATTTTATTATTTTATTTTATTTTATAAATACAATTTACTATAACTATATATTAATATTTAGTAATATTGTATTTAATATCAATAAATCAACAATTTCAACCTTAACTTTTTTAAGTTTTATTTTCGTTATTTCAATGTTTTCGATATTTTGCAGAACGCAACGTTACTCTGAGATACATATAGAAGAGTAAGTTTTTATGCTTCTCTGCGATGCATATGGAAAAGTAAGTTATTCACTTCTCTGTGATGCATACGAAATGCATATGAAAGAGTAAGTTTTCTCACTTCTCTGTGATGCATACACGGTGCATATAGAGGAGTAATTTGTTACACTTCTACGCGAGTAGCGGATTAACGAACAACTTCTCACGACTAAAGCGACTCTTAGACGCTCTCTTCCGCACTTAGATTGCTTAGTATTATAATTTCAGAAAGATTCTTCCACCATTGAAAATGTTTGCTGGGAAACATTGATTAAGCTATTGCATTGTCTTTGCTTGTATGCGAAGCATTTGGTAATCGTATTGAACTTGTGTTGTTTGTCATATGTCTTATGCTGTTATATTATTTCTTTTACTCTTTCTGACTTAAGAGGATCTTTTTTAGCCTTAAGAGTGAATTTACTTTTAACATTGCACTTTTAACATTTATGTTTATACAAAAATTGTTTACAAAATTTTTTTATGTAGATATATTCTTACGTTTTTTTAGTACTACTAGCTGACACTTATTTGTTGTCCTATATTCTTAATCCAGTTTTTTCGTGTAATTAGTTAGTAATTTAAGTGCTATTATATTTCCTGGCGTAGCAAGAATTGTGTAAAGGAAAGGTTACTAAGCAATTTTAGTAGTATTTTTGCAATACATTATCTGTAGTTTATATGGTCAGTAAGTGATCTATTCCTTAATCCATTTACCTCCCACTTGAATACGCTACTGGATATAATTTGAACTTAGACTTCATGCGTCCTTAAATTAGGACGGGTTAGGAACGATTTGTTTTGTGCCATTAATACAATTTATATAATGTATATTCATATAATGTATTTGCTATTTTTAAACTGAGTGGACAATTTAGTGTTGTTATAAGAGTTTATTTAGTAATATTAATATTTTCAATTTTTAACTTACTTAAGTAATAATATTTTATTTTCTGACACTACATTTTTTTAATTTTAATCATTTGTATTATTTTATTTGTAAATTTTTTTAAATTAATAAATTCAATTTTTTCTTGTTTTTTTGTTTAAATAGAAAACATTTTTTGTTGGGTATTAAGAAATGAATATTTCTCTCTTAGCTCTTTTAGAATATTCTCATTTTGTTGCAACATGCGCATTTAAGACCTAAAGAAAACAATAAGAGCATCTGTCACTGCACATATAACAAGGTTCCATGGTGTAATGGTTAGCACTCTGGACTCTGAATCCAGCGATCCGAGTTCAAATCTCGGTGGAACCTGAATTATTTTTATAAAAATATTTTTTATTATATTAATAATTTGTACATTTTTTTTTTAATTTTCTGCAAATAAATAAAAATACTAATGTGCTTTTTATTTTCACTTATCTCATTTTTCATTCACAAATACTTATTTAAACCATTAAAATTAAAATTGTTAAAAATTGAGACGCTTGTTTTTACACCTTTTAATACATGGTTATACTACTATACGCAGCTTTTTATTTTCTAGTCTGACCCCAAAGACTTGTTACTATATAATTTCTTTAAAATATGATGTTTGTTTTGATTTGTCTCTACTTAAACTGAAATTTAAACTCTACTCTGCTTTTAAACTCTTTTTTAACTCTACTTAAAGAATCGCTTGGATATATAAGATACAGTACTTTTAGTGTTTAGTGTAGAGAGTTTTGTGCTTTTATCGAGAAATTCACTAGTAAAGTGTAAACAGTGTTATTATAGAGATGATTTAATCGATTTTGAAATTTAAATTATGTTGATATTTATTTAGTTTTTATATTTATTATGTTAATATTGACAATGTAACGATATTTTTTAATTGCTTCCAAATTGTATTCTCCGGTACCATAAAGTATTCTCCAGTACATACAAATCTATAAGTAAGAAATTCCTGAGTTGAAATTTTTGTTTTATACTCCAAAGTTCGGGGTATTTCTATGTTTAGGAAGTTTTTTTTTAAATGACAATAACATTGTGATAATAAATCTTTATCTTGTACGTTATGTTATGTTAATCCTTTTCCGAGTTAGTGCATCTGGGCACTTTTACTCTATGACAGCTGGGGGGATTCTGCAGAGTCCCGCCCTGACTAATTTGAGTATTACTGATAATCTTCGTGATTATTCAATGATTGATCTAAGATCTGCGTACCGCACCGTGCGGTTAGTGATTACTCTAAGATTAGATACTGATAATTAGGGCAGCCTGTCGGTTGTCGCATATAGCTTCAGAGCTCTGTCCCTTATGTATTTTTTGACCGGATCTATTATAAGGTCTCTTAGCATGTCATTCTTGCGGATGTACCATGGTACTTTGAAGAGCCTTCGGAGAGCCTGACTTTGAGAAACTTGTAGCTTTTGGATAGTAGAGTGTACGTAAATTCATAAATGCAGTTATTTAAAAAGTATTAATTTGGGATTTTCAGATCACGTGTTCCAGAAATTTAATCTATTTCTAGAACATAGGGTGCTGAACAATTTATATATATGGTATAAATATTAACTTCCTCAATTATTCAAATACAAAATCAATTATTTGATTTGTTTAATTGTTTTAATTTTAAAATTGAATATTAAAAATTGAATATTAAAATTGAATATTGTAGAAAATAGCTTTTTTAGCATGTTTAATATTAAATATTAATATTAAAAATTTAATACTTTAATGCCATTTTCTCCAAAACCCACAACCGCATCCATCATATAAAATCCCTCTTTTGGGAAATTGATGTTGAAATCCATGTACATATCGTTTTGAATTGTGTCTCTTTAGCAATATGCTTAATAACACAAAGCTGCAAAAGGGGAAAACCATAAACTTGATAGGATAAAGACTAGATGATAAGATAAACACTTAGATTAAGATGCATAGGATAAGAAAAAAGTAAGAGTGAATTCTAATTAAAATTTACTAACTAACTAACTATGAATTAGACATAAACTGCTGTCAGCGTGGACACACCGAAAGAGCTCTTTGGTGCAAATAATATGACCACTAATCCAATTTGTAGACAGAAACCCACACAAAAAGTCATATGAAAATATTCAAAATTTTTTGTTAGAATATTAAAATTTATTTATCGCATACGATAATTATTTTTCTTAATTTAATATATATATAAAATATTCAAAGCCAATCTATATTAGTACTCTTACAACATATATTTAACGTTTCAAATTAATAAACATTAGCTAACATATTGTGACAATAAAATACATATCACAACAAAATTTAAAAGTAAAGATTTTAAATGTATATTTACAAAAAAAAAAATAATAATAAAAAATATATTTATATACAAAAATTTTAAATTTAATTTAATCTTCATTGTTATCGTTTTCATTTTGTTGTAGTTGAATTTTGCGATTTTGAAATCTAATACATTTAGGACACAACATTTTTTTTCGCGTCAGACAAACTCGGTGATATATTGAATTACATTTATCACAAATTATGCAGCCATCATCAAATGGATATATGACCTCACAATTGCTGCAAATTTCACATATATAAGCTTTAGCTGTACACATGGAACAATTACGTATATGGCGATTAAAATTGTTAAAGACTTTTGACAAAAATTCCATTAGAGTACCATTTTCAGTTTCTTCTAAATCGTGTATTGAATAAAATTCATTGGATTGTATTAAATGACGTCGGATACCTTTAAATAAGCAATAATTAAATTTAACAAATGTATATATATAATATTGCTAGATTTTTATTTATACCAATTTGATTGTCAATTAGTTTTTCCTCCATTGCCAGTCGGCACTCAATTAAATATTTACGCATATAAACTAAGTTCTGGCGAATTTTTTTAATGGTACATAGCTTCTCCAGGAAAACAAATAATTTTGGATTTGCCTCTTCTAGTTTAACCAGTGGTTTGTCAAGAAATAAATTAATTTCTTGCAGGGAAGCACGTGATACTTTACGTGGTGCGAAGTCCCAATTATGTATAACTCGTGCTGGTATAATGCTATTATCGTTCCAATGACACGGCGGACAATAATATAAGCCATTGTAATCACACAGGCGTGGTTCGATCCAGGCATGCTCTATAAAGAGTATAATTTATAATAAAACCTTTAAAGCGTATTTTTGTTTATTAAATTTAGCCAAATTAGGAAATGAAAGTTATAGAGTTAAAAGAAAATTAAAGTAAAAAAAGCCATCAGCGAAAAAAAATTAAAGCCATAATTAATAGTTTTTAAAATTGCTAAATCTATTGATAGGATAGTGCTCGTGAATAATATATATAATTATTGATATAGACTATTATATGAATAGACAGCCACAATATATCCAATCATAATTAATTCATTAAGATATCCGAATTAGTACAACATTTTTGAACATTTTTGGTATATAATAAAGGATTTTTCATTTGCTATCGCTTTAGGTTCAATAAAATAAATAAATAAAGTTGGATAAGAAAGTTGATGTTTTCTTTTCTTATGTTATTTTCTTCACTTGTAATGAGTTAAAAAATGTATATATAGTATTTATAATTTTAACGATTGTTCGAACTTATAGCGATACTTATTAAACGTATTCAACACTTCAAATAGAAAATGAAGTCTTACCAATGTTACATAAACATTTATGATACTAAGACCACTTAAAGAAAATTATTAAATTTATTTTTGATATTAAAGACGTCTTCTGTAACATTAAAGACAAAAGATTAATTTATTTTATATCAATTTTTGTTCATATTCATACTAAAAGTGGGGAATATTGTGGCAAAGAAATTTCTAAGAAATTATTTTATATTTATGTTGTTGTTGTTGTAGTCCGCCGGGATCTAAAAAGCAGATAACATGTAATAATTACAAAACGAATGCAAGGGGAGGGAAGTGGATGGGCGGGGTTAGAGTTAAGAGGATAATGGGAAGGGAATAATGGGAAGGATACAACTAAAATCAACCAGGGTCCAGCCGTAGAGACCTAGCTACCTCAAGGAGATGAGACCAAAGGTCGATTGGACTTAAATTAGTGTGTGCAGTGGAACAAGAGAACTGATGGCTGAGGTCATGGGGGATAGAGTTGTAATTTGGGTACACATGGACACGTTTATGCGTGACAAGTAACTGTTTAGCACATGGCTATATCCTAATCTCAATTGAGCTAGGACAATTCTTGCTGCACGGGGGAGACGATTCTATATTTATAATTATTGGTATCGGTCTTATTATATCGGCTGTTTATTATAAAATTAGTATTAGTGTGTTTACATACTTTTTTTTATATAAAATAATATATAAACAAAAAACAAACCAAACACTGCCAAAAAAAAAACTTTTAATATTAAAAAAAATAGTTTGAATATTAACAATTATATGAACAATTATTGTATGTTTAAGTAGTGACGCATAATTGTGTGGTTTGTTTTTATAAATAATGACTAAATTTATTTTTTATATGGTTTTATACGATTTTTATAAGATCTGCTTTTTCTCAAGATTTTTTTTTAGTATAAAGTGCTTTTAAAAAACTGTATTTTTCTTTATATCTAAATGGTTTTTTTTGGTTTTGGTTTTTACTATTTTAATATAATATTTAGTTTCCTGATGATGATTTTAGACTAAAATCAAAATATCAATAAAATAAAAATTATTATAAAATAAATAATGGTCTCTTAATTTTGATTTTTAACAACAAGAAAAAATTTAACGAATTAGTCTGCAAAAACACTTTATCGAGATGTTTTCTTAATAAAGTAAATATAATAATTACAAATAAAACTGACAAATTGTTTATTAAATTTGAAGGTCTCTACAATAACTAAATTCTTCGTTTTATATATATTTTTAATTTTTTGCCACGGAATTTATTAAACAATAATTAAGGGATTATGTGGCTCTAATTAAATAATAAATAAATTTTAAAATTTACATATAATATAGATACATATATTAAAAAGTGGGATTTATACATTATTAAACAATATTGCAAAATCGTGTTAAATAGTTTGCTATGATATATAAAATTAAATTAATTAGGATCAAAATATACTGTCAGTAATTTTGCAATAATTTTAAAGTGGTGAAATATAAATGAAAGGCCATGGTGTTGTGGA